CTCATAACAACTACTGATTGACAGATTATCTATGTTCTTTATATATATTAATATGAGCCTTAAACATTGCAGGATTGTGTTACAATCATGATACAAAATTGGAATTGATATACCAAAAGTATTTTTTGAAATATATAAAATATTTCCTTTTTCTTTTTTAAAACATTTCTTTTTAAAACATTTCCTTTTTTTAAATAATACCTTTTGATGTTTTTTATAATAGTAAATATTTGCATATTATAGAAAAAAAAAACCATTATTGACATACTTGGTTCTTTCATTTAAAAATTTTTTGTTGAATGGTAAAAAATTATTGACATAACTAGCATTAAAACATTATAAATCCGTTTTTTTGTTAATCTCTCTGAAACTTGTTAACCATAGAGTATTTTTAGTCATTATCAAGTCTTTTAAAGCGATATTGAAAAATAGTCTCAGCTTTGAAGCGAAAAAAGTAATACCATTTTTGAATAGCCGTGGATTCATGTAAAGAAGACCTTTCGATATGAAAAGATATTTATTAAAAAGCTTTTAACAGGGCAATTTCGTTTACTTTAATAAAGGAGCTTGAGTTTATATTCGATAAAATCAATTGGAAGATAAATGTCCACACGACTACTAATACTAAATATTAACTGGTATCACGCGGCACAACCGATTTGTATGTTTCACAAACAATCGGCTTGCTGACAAACAAAAATGGCCTGAATAGATGAATAGAGTCCATAACAGTGGATTATAAAATTTGGGAAACTGGTATGTTTGTAAATAAATTCTATAATTGGCCAGAATGAATTCGTTCTTTAATATGATCAACGAATTAATCAAATTAAAAAAATAATCCACAATATTGTCATTATTTTACGTCACCAATTGAAAGCATCGTCTTAAATTAATTATCTGATGAACACACGATTCTTATAGATATATCATCAATTATTATTATTTACATGACATGCAGGAATTTTATTAATTAAAAACAAATCGAGTTAAGTTAATTGATCGTAAATTAGGAAATTATAAATTTTTTCGCCCGACAGATATCAATATTTATTTTCATTTTAACGCGTTTTTGGTTTTTTCAATTCTATCCAAAAATTCTTTAATCCAATGCTGATTTTTGATCAGCTGGGCATGATAATTTTCTAAAGAATATTATTAACATTGTGTAGATCACAATGAGCTTCAAAGAATCCCCATTTTCTATATAATAATAACTAATATTGATTCAATTGGAAAGTGAAATTTTTTGGTGATCAACATCGAAATTCTATTAATAAAAATTAGCCACAAACCTTAATTTTAATCCTTTTTTGCTCAGCAAAATTTGAGACACAGATTTTCAGGACTTATTCCTTCTTTTAGAAAAATTTAGGGAAGGTTATTAATAAAATAAAGTAGAAAAAATCTTGGTGTTAAAGTTTATCAACCAAATTACCGCATTTGGAAATTAATATCTCTTTGGTCATTACTCTTGATAATCTCCTGCCCACATTTTTCCTTTTTGTGTATTAATTAAGGTTCCTAACCGTAATTATAACTCCATATTAATATTAATATATTATTTTGGATACTCGTGATTATTTCGGATACTAC